GCTGGAGGGGGGGGTCGTCGCTGTCCCCGGCTGAACCCCGATTTTTCTTTGGGGTCTCACGGGGGGGGGAGGCTGTCGTGCGTGGGGGGGGGGAATGGGAATCTTATGTTTTTATCATTATCATTGTTTTTAGTCCGTGCTGTCATGTTCCATTTTATGCTTGTTTGCCTTTTGAACGGTTTTAATTATGTAATTTAAGCTTTGTAAACTACCCAGAGTCTATTAGCAATATATTCTCCCTCGGACCCTGGAAAGAGTGCAGAGAAGAGCAACAAAGAGGATTAGGGGACTGGAGGCTAAAACATATAAGCAACGGTTGCTGGAATTGGGGATGTCCAGTTTAACAAAGAGAAGGACGAGGGGGGACATGATAGCAGTGTTCCAATATCTCAGGGGCTGCCCCAAAGAAGAGGGAGTCAAGCTATTCTCCAAAGCACCTGAAGGCAGGAGAAGAAGCAGCGGATGGAAACTGAACAAGGAGAGAAGCAACCTGGAACTAAGGAGAAACTTCCTGACAGTTAGAACAATTAACCAGTGGAACCATCTGCCTCCAGAAGCTGTGAATGCTCCAACACTGGAAGTTTTTAAGAAGAGACTGGACAGCCATTTGTCCGAAATGGTATAGGGCAGTGATGATGAACCTTTTAGAGACCGAGTGCCCAAACTGCAATCCCAAACCCACTTACTTATTGCAAAGTGCCAGGTTGCATCAGCATTGTGATGCCCTCGGGGGGGGCACTGGGTGGGCATAGCTGTAGTGGTCATGGCAGACTGGGTGAGCGTGGCCGGGGCCAGTCCCTCGCCATCTCCGGGGCATCCCGGGATGGCAATACTGCTTGCTCGCTCACCTCCTGCCCTGTTGCTTCCAAACGCCATGTGCTCGCTATTCTGGCGAACTCTGCTGGGGCAACGGCACGCGTGCCCACAGAGAGGGCTCTGAGTGCCGCCTCTGGCACCCGTGCCATAGGTTCGCCACCACTGGTATAGGGTTTCCTGCCTGAGCAGGGGGTTGGACTAGAGCAGGGCTTTTCAACCTTTTCACCCATTGTACCACTTTTAGGATATGGCAATATCCGAGTACCACCAGTCGCCTAGCAAGGGGTCCAAAACTTGATGACCCCCCCCCAAAAAAGGAAAAAGTACAGGTAGTCCTCGACTTACAATAGTTCGCTTAGTGACTGTTGGAAGTTACAATGGCACTGAAAAAAGGGCCCCCCAAGCCACAGCCGAGCAAGACACCTGCCTGCCCGCCCGGCTGCGCTCTTCCTCCTGTCCGAGGTTTCCATTGTTGTGAGCATTTCTGTTGGGGATTGGCAGCGGGGGTGGGGTGGGGGGGTGGTTTGGTCTTTATTCCCCCCCCCCCCGTCTGCTGGGTGATTGCAGCAGGACCTGGGGCAGCACTTCACAGGACCCTGGGACACTGTGACCGTCATAAATATGAATCAGTTGCCAAGCCTCTGAATGTAAATCACAAGACCCTGGAGAGGCTGCAACATTCCAGCTGATCGGCGCTTCTTCTGGGCTCAGCAGAAGCGCCAGGATCAGTGCTGCTTTCCAGCTGATTGGTGCTTCTTCTGGGCTCAGCAGAAGCGCCAGGATCAGTGCCGAGCTCCAGTTGGAGCCTGGTGCTGATCCTGGCACTGCCACTGAGCCCTGACAGCCCCGAAGAAGCGCCGATCAGCTGGAAAGCGGCACTGATCCTGGCGCTTCCGCTGAGCCCTGACAGCCCTGCAGCTCCAGCCGTCTCTCGCTCAGGCTTGTGCGGTGCTACCACCGGTCCAGCTCATTCCCCTCCCCCGCTACCACTTTTCTAGGATGGTCGCGTACCACCTGCCAGGTGCCCATGTACCACAGGTAGTACCCGTACCACTGGTTGAAAAGCCCTGGACTAGAAGACCTCCAAGATCCCTTCCAATTCTATTCTATTCTATTCTATTCCATATTTTCTATTCTATTCTATTCTATTCTATTCTATTCTATTCTATTCTATTCTATTCTGTTTTCTGGAAGGCAGAGAGTCTGATGGAGCAGTTGGCAGAGGGAAGCGATGGTGTTGTCGGCTTTTAAATTGTGCTTTGAAATGCACTCTTTTCCGATCCCACTCAGCCGTTCCTTCCGGTAAACGGGTGGCTGTCTAAGTCTGTTTTACGAATAAATCATGAGTAATAATAGGACTTCTGTTGAGAGATTTAAAAACAAGGTGGCCTGTACCATCACCCCAGGTTTTGGCTCTGGCCCCATGAAGTTCTGGCCGCCCTGCAGGGAAATTGGGTACATTTGACGGATAGAGAGAAAGAACGAGGCATAAGAAAATCCCACATGCAGGAGAAACAGCTACTTTAGTGGGTTTTTCCCCCCCCCCTGGAAATGGAAAACGAGTCTTACAGAAATGGAAACGCTGGACTGAGAACCGCAATGTTGCTGATGGAGACATTTGCGAGTTTCGCCCCATTTTACGACGGTCGTTAAATGAAACTCTGCGGTGGTTAAGTTAGCCACGTGGTCATGAAGCGAATCTGGCACCCCCATTGTCTTTGCTTGTGAGAAGGCCGCAAAAGGGGATCGTAGTGACTCCAGGATGCTGTGTGACGGTCATAAATACGAATCCGTGGCCAAGCGTCTGAATTTTGATCCCGTGACTGCGGAGATGCCATGACAGTCATGGGAGTGTGAAAAAAACAGGTCACAAGTCACTCGACACAACGGTCACAGCGACATTGTAAGTTGGAATGGTCACTAAATGAATGGCTGTGGTTTGAGGACTCCCTGTACAATTCTCCACCTCGGAGGAATCCAGGAATCAATGCAGCGTCTGGCAATTGCTTTATGTCAGGGGTGTCAAACTCAATTTCATTGAGGGCCGCATCAGCATTGTGGTTGCCCTCAAGGGGGCCGGGTGGGTGTGGGCTACTGGGTGGGCGTGGCCAGCTCTGCATCGCGTCAAGGGTGCCTATGGGGGCCTGGGCAGGAGTGGGACAGATCTGGGGGTCTCTGGCAGAAGGGGGTGGGACCGGGGCAAGCGCCAAGGCATGGTCCACTGGAGGAGCCCCACTGCCTGCCAAAACCCCTCCGCCGGAGCCCATCAAGCCGGATAGGTGAAGGAGGCGAGGGCCATTTGCTGGCCACTTCCAGGCGATGGTGCATTTCTTCGTTCCCCACAAAGGGCGACCCCTCCCCAGCATGCACCCAGGGGCCGGGGCCGACATGCACCCAGGGGCTGGTTCCTCGCTGGTTCCAGAGGGCCTTGTGGAGCTAAGACTGAATGCGTTTCAGCATAGATGGCCACCACAAAATTGTACATGGGCTCCCTCCCGGCTGGCTTGGGCCAGGGCCAAGGCAGCGGGGGCCGTTCCCTCACTGTTTCCAGGATGGCTTCGCGGGCCGCATGAAACCACTTTGCGGGCCGCATCCGGCCCCCGGGCCTTGTGGTTGACATGTCTGCTTTATGTGCTTCAAATAGATCCTGGGCTTAGGTGAAATTTGGCAAGGATAGTAATTTGTAACCGATTCGGCGAGACCTGGCTGAAGAGCAGCAACTGTGAGAGGGACCTTGGAGTCCCTTAAGCATGAGCCAGCTGTGTGCGGCAGCAGCCAAAAAGGCCAACACAATCCTGGGTTGAGAATCAAAGTCACATGAAGTCTTAGTCCCGCTTTGTAAACCCTTAGGAAGGCCACACCTGGAATACCTGCATCCAGTTTTGGTCACCACATCACAAAAAAAGATGTTGGGCCTTTGGGAAAAGAGGATCAAAGGCCTAGAGACTGAAACATCTGAAGAACAGTTGCAGGATTTGGGAATGGCCAGTCCAGAGAAAAGAAGGATGGGGGGGGACATGATAGCAGCCTTCCACAAAGAGGAGGGGGTCAACGTATTCCCCAAAGCGCCTGAAGGCAGGACAAGAAGCAACGGATGGAAACTCATCAAGGAGAGAAGCAACCTGGAATTAAGGGAGAAACTTCCTGACAGTTAGAACAATTAACCAGTGGAACAACCTGCCTCCAGAAGCGGTGAATGCTCCAACACTGGAAGTTTTTAAGAAGAGACTGGACAGCCATTGGTCTGGAATGGCATAGGGCAGTGGTGGCGAACCTGTGGCACGGGTGCCAGAGGTGGCACTCAGAGCCCTCTCTGTGGGCACGTGCGCCCTCGCCCCGGTCCTAGGCCTTCAGCTGGGTTTTATAAAACCTTTTCGCTTTAGGCCTCCATTGCTGTGTGCAAAAAAAAAAAAAAAGGTTCAATCAATCAGTCAATTTCAACTTCTGGCGGGGGAAAAAAAGATTTTGCAAAGTTGGAATTGATTGAACTTTTTAGTCCCACCCAGTCTGCCATTACCACCGCAGCCACGCCCACCCAATGGGCCACACCCACCCAGCACCCGATGATGTATAAGTGGGTTTTGGGTTGCAGTTTGGGCACTTGGTCTCTAAAAGGTTTGCCATCACTGGCATAGGGTCTCCTGCCTGAGCAGTGGGTTGGACTAGAAGACCTCCAAGGTCCCTTCCAACTCTTCTAGTCTAGTCTAGTCTAGTCTAATTCTGAATTCTAGTCTACTTTCTGTTCTATATTTTCTTATCTTCTAATTCTGAATTCTATTCTGTTCTATTCTATATTCTCTTCTAATTTTGAATTCTATTCTATTCTACTCTACTCCATTCTTATTTTTATTCTATTCTATATTCTGTTCTCTTTATTCTACTCTATACTGTATTCTGTATTCTGTTTTGTTCTACTCTCTTCTAATTCTGAATTCTATCCTATCCTATCCCCAAATGGATTCATTTATCTTTCAAATCCCTGCGATGTCTCTTGGCCCCAAATGCCCTCCGACGAATCCAGTGAGACTCACCGGAACCTAAGGAGCGGGTCACACCGCAAACTCCAAGAAGGACCAGAGACCCCATCAGGCTGAGCATTTATTGTGGATCATCCAGGAACCATTTCGGAGAAATAAATAACAGGAGGCGGAGAGGGTTTCAAGTCATTCAGGCGGTCTCGGTTCCTAGGACAGTCGGTTCAAGCTTTCCTTGGCCCCGGGACGGTGGAAGTAGAGCAGTTCCAGGCTGACGGCCTCAGTCTCCCCATCGGGCCGCGCTCGCTTCTGCCTCGTGCGGCACCAGGCGTAGGAGACGCAGCAGGCCACGGGGCCCAGAGCCAGCAGCACGGCCAGCGCCAGGAGGAAGAGCGGCCTGTCTCCCAGGGCAAAAGCCCCTCCCCGGGGCAGGTAGGAGAAGGAGGGGGAGGGCAGGCAGGCGTGGGAGCGCTCCTCGTAGGTGCTGTGGGACGGGCAGGCGCTGCAGTTGCGGGCCGACCCCGCCAGGCAGGTGTAGCAGGAGGGGTCGCAGGCCGAGCAGGCCTGGATGGCGCGCTGGGTCCCGTTGGGGTCGAGAGCCCGGCGGGACAGGCGGTAGTACCTGGGCGGGCAGTAGGAGAGGCAGAGGTGCCGGACCGCGAAGAGCGGGCTGGGGCATTCTGGGAAAAAACAAGAACAACAACAAGGAGCCCTGTGAGGCAGGCCAGCCAGTCACAAGGAGACGAGGCAAGGATTGGTCAATGTGATAAACAAATGAATACAATTAAGAAACCAGAAGGCACGGCTGTGGGTGATGGGTATCCTAGGGCCGGGCGATTGACCGGGCTGGGTTTTATTTTTAAAATACAGGTAGCCCCCAACTTAGTTCATTTAGTGACCATTCACTAGTTCATTTAGTGACCACGGCACTGAGTAGGTAGATAGATAATTCTGTTATTCTATTCTATTCTATTCTAAATAACCTTTATTGTCATTTTTTTTACTGTGGGCACAACGGCACACATCAAAAACGAAATTTAGTTGCCCGCTCTCAAAATGAAACACATCCCAAGTGACTTGGGATCATTTTTCACACTTAACGACCGTCGGAGCAACCCTCCCCGGGGTCACGGGATCGAAATTCAGGCGCTTGGCAGACGGCTCGTATTTCCGACGGTCGCGGTGTCTCCCGTGTGCGTGTGTGTTTGTGTCATGTGATCCATTCTGGCGGCCTTCCAACAAGCAGAGTCAACGGGGAAGCCGGATCGCTTAACGACGGGGTTACTAAACCTAACGAGTGCGGCGATTCGCTTAACGACCATAGCAGGAAAGGAGGCAAAATGGGGGGGGGGAAACTCGCTCAAACAAATACTTCGCTTAGCGACGGAAAGTTTGGGCTCCGTACGACGCCCGTACGACGCCCTCAAGGACGAAAAGGGGCAGGCAAGATCAATCTGTTAACGTACGGATAGTCCTCGGCTTAACGGCCACAACGGGGAGCGGGATTTCTGCTGCTGAGCACGGGGTGGTTAGAAGCAGCCCCCGTCTGATTTTACGGCCTTTTGGGCCGGGGTTGTCAGGCGAATCGCTGCCGTCGTTAAATGAACCACGTGGTTGTTAAGCAAATCCAGCTTCCCCCGTGGAGGATGCTTGTCGGAAGCCGGCTGGGAAGGTGGCAAATGGGGGTCACGTGACACACAGACACACCCCGGGAGGCTGCAACCGTCATAAGCGCATGGCAGTTATGGCCAAGTCCTGGGATTTTGATCACGTGACCAGAGGGGAGGCTGTGGGGGTCCCGGGTCCCCCCCTTTTTTTAGGGCTATTCTAACTTCAAACAGTCATTAATGTTTGTAATTGGAGTAGGTATCTGTCTGTCTGTCTGTCTGTCTATGTCTATTCATCCATCCATCTTTCCCTCTCTAATCTCTGTCTCTGTCTCTCTCTCTCTCTCTCTCTCTCTCTATCTCTCTCTATCTATCTATCTATCATTCTATCACTATCACTCTATCTCTCTGTCTATCTATCTATATCATTCTATCACTATCTCTGTCTATCTATCTATCTATCACTCTCACTCTATCTGTCTGTCTATCACTATCACTATCACTATCTATCACTCTCACTCTCACTCTATCTGTCTGTCTGTCTGTCTATCTATCTATCTATCTATCTATCTATCTATCTATCTATCTATCTATCTATCTATCTATCTATCTATCTATCTATCTATCTATCTATCTATCTATCTAATCTATCTATCTATCTATATCTATACATCCATCCATCTTTCCCTCTAATCTCTGTATCACTATCACTCTATCTATCACTATCACTCTATCACTCTATCTGTCTGTCTGTCTGTCTGTCTGTCTGTCTGTCTATCTCTTCATCCATCCAGCTTTCCCTCTCTAATCTCTATCACTATCACTGTCTGTCTGTCTCTCTCTTTCTCTCTCTCTCTCTCTCTCTCTATCATCCATCCATTTTTCCCTCTCTAATCTATCATCTATCTGTCTGCCTGTCAGTCTGTCTATCTCTCTATCTCATCTGTCTGTCTGTCTATCTATCTATCAATCATCCATCCATCTTTTCCCCCTAACCCTAATCCTAACTTCAAACAGTCATTAATGTCTGTTTGTCTATTTACCAACAATCCATCTATCCATCATCTATCTGTCTGTCTGTCTGTCTGTTTATAGCTATTCATCCATCCATCTTTCCCTCTCTAATCTCTGTACCACTATCACTCTATATCAGGGGTGTCAAACCCGCAACATCACGTGATGTGCCACGACGTATTGTGACTTTTTTTCCATTGCCTGCAATGGGGTGGTCGTGGGCCGGCAGTTTGACACCCTTGCTCTCAATCTCTCAATCTCTTTCTCTCTCTCTCTCTCTCTCTCTCTCTCTCTCTCTCTCTATCTATCTATCTATCTATCTATCTATCTATCTCTCCCCCTCTTTCTCCCTCCCTGCATCTCTCTCTCTCTCTCTCTCTCTCTCATTTAGAAAGCACCCATCTCCCTCACAGAGGCACTCTGGGCAGCGTGCAAATAAAAAGTTAAAAACATGCAACTGCTCTCTGGTGGCAGGGAGTTGCACAGGCTGAGCGGCCGTCAAACACGACGTGTGGCCATCTGAGCAATGTGCCCAAGACAAAGGCTGACAGAAGGGAATATTTCTAACTCAGGGTCGAACGGCTGGGGTCTTCCGTTTTCTTTTGCAGACATCTCGTGACCCAGCTCGGTGACATCATCAGAATCCCTGCTCGGAGGCAGTGGGGGAATTGGCCTCTGCTTATAGACAAGGGGCTTGCCCCGTCAGTGCTAGCGGAGTGTCTTTGGGGGGG